AAATATATAATTGGGTATGATGATACCCAATTATATATTTCGACTCTGGGCAAGCCAAGTGAGGCTACTGAGGTTGTGTCCCAGTGCCTGGAGGCAGTGGATGTTTACTCCACCCAGATCTGGCGATATTCCAACTTTGACCTTCGATGGAGTTGCACTTCCCCATTCAAGGATGGTGCGCAATTTGGGAGTCCTCCTGGACTCAGAACTCTGCTCAGTGAGCAGGTGGCAGCTGTGGCCAGGAAGGCTTTTGCCCAGCTTCATCTGTTGCGTCAGCTGCACCCTTTCCTAGATCGGGGGCCCTTCAGTCACTCATTCATGTCCTGGTCACCTCACAGCTTGACTACTGCAACATGCTCTGTGTGGGGCTGCCCTTGAGAACTACCCAGAAGCTTCAGCTAGTCCAGAATGCAGCGGCCCAGGCAGTGATGAGCAGGCCTTGGTATGCCCATGTAACACCTCTGCTTCACAAGCTGCACTGGTTGCCAGTTTGCTTCTGGATGTGATTCAAAGTGCTGGTCGCTACCTATAAAGTCCTACATGGCATAGGACGTGGTTACTTGACTGACTGCCTGCCTCCCACAGTATTTGCCTGACCGGTTTGACCTGGCAGGTTTGACATGCTCCAGTTTGCATCAATTAAACAATGCCACCTATTGGGACCCTGGAAGCACAGCTTCTCTGTAAAGCGCATGCCCTCTGGAATGAGGTTTCCCCCAAAATTTGAACGGCTCCCATCCTACCAGTATTTTGAAAGGCCTTAAAGACCTGGCTCTTTGCTCAGGCCTTTGGAGAAAATGATTGATGCCCCTTTCTTCCTTCGGGTTCCCTTCTGGGTTTATTTTCTTTGCCACTGTTGTTCCTTTTGTATTGTTCTCTGCCTTTTAAATGTTTTAACAATTGTAAACCACCCAAAGTTGCTGGGAGTTCGGTAGTATATAAATTATATTATTATTATTATTATTATTATATTAATTAATTATTCAGCTAGATCAAAATGAAAAGGCAAGAGCAGCCGATTAACTTTAAGCAGCTAAATCCAGCAAGACTGATAACAATGTCAATTCCAGCAAACACCACAAGAGTACCAGGTTGCTGCACTTTAAAATATCTGGAAACTAAAAGATATGTTTCTGATATATGCATAACGATTGCTGGAACACCATCAAAGTGATACCCAATGATTATCGTGGTGGTATAGTTGCTGATATGATATTTCAACACTATTTCAATTAATGTAATTCCATCATCACACACACATAACCTAATTCCACCAGATACTTTAATTACATTTCAGGCTGTCACCATTCTAGACTGCTTTGTTTTTTTACTCAATGGAAAAGCAGTTCTTTTTTTGGAAATTAGCTAGATCCATGAGAAATGAGGAAAAGATTTGAATACAGAATGTCCTTCTATCAGCAATAAGGTATTAAACAGAGATCTGTTGAGAATGCTGCCACTGACAGAAAGAAAGGAAAATAGTGGGGGAGTTACTGATCTTCTCTTTTCTCTGCTGCCACCAGTTCTACATATTTTACAATGGCAGTAACTACTCAATCCTCCAGAGCAAATTTCCAGCAGAGCAGGAGAACTGACAAAAATCTCTCTCCCAACTCAGCATCCCATGAGATTTCCCCACTGGATCAAATAACTTTCTTAACAAGAAGTTGTTCCATATTCAGGATGCAGAATTTTGATCCAACTTACAGGGTAACAATGGTCCCCCCGCACCCCACAAATTTACCTGTATTTTTCACCCGATGTTTTCCGAAGCAACTGTTGCCACATCACTGCAAAACCAAGGTATGTCCCTACCTATAAATTTGAGAAGTGATTATTTTATTTTGTTTTTAAACCACTAACATTATTTTTATATGTTTAAAGTATAGTTTCAGAGCTAGAGAAACTTCACTTTAGGGATTAATGTACACTTCAGCCTGTATGCATTGAAGAGAAAACTACTTCTTTTAATCAAAATACTGATTTTAGTTTTAAAACATACTTCTGAGCCAATGCTGGCACCCTGTTGCACTCCGTATTGCCTTCCTTCCATAACACCAGCATGGACGCCTTCAGCATAACCATCCTGATAGCCTTCACCATGAAATCTGTGGAAAGATTTTGGAACAGCAAGTCATACAAGCCTGAAGCAGCAATAAATGTATCCTTGCATTTAGTTGTTATGCATGTTTCTTTCAAATAATCCAGTACATTCCAATCAATTTCAAAAGAATTTAAGCAATAGTTATACAAAACATTGGTTTAACATAAGTTCATTTAGACTGTAATCCCATATGAAGTATGGCATACAAACTTGCTTGGAAGTAGGTCTCATTGAATTCTATAAGGCTCACTTCTGATTGACATGCTTAGAATTGCACTCTTGATTATATTGTGTTCTACTAAAAGTGTAATTACATATATTCATAATAATTTAAAATTGGACTTTCATAGATTACAGTAGCAAACAATGTTTTAGGGGCTTCTCTTGAGGTTGTTCTTTCAACAAATTGTACAAGAACTGAATTTCATTAATGTAAAATATTTCTCATTCCATTTGTAATCCGCAGTAAAACAGGATCACTTTAATAATTTTCCATACTCTAAAAAATGTATAGCAACATTGTGACTGAAGTTCTATGGCACTATATTTCTAATGCAGCTGTTGTATGAAAACCTCAGCAAGAATTTGATTGGTCTCTGTAACAGAATGAAATGTAATCAGATTCAATCTAAATTTGTTAAGCTACAATGGTAACAAATTGAAGGGTTGATGTGGGCCAGCATCATCATCTTGATGAACATTTATTTTCCTTTTTCTAAATATGTAACATAATTATGGCTTTTGCCATCCAACAAAACTTAACAGATTAGCACAACACTCACAATGTTACTGAATCTGTACTGTATCCTAATATACCTTTGTAATAATTCTGTTACTTCACACTATTTTATGCCTAACTTCAAAAAAAACTGGGCAAGCTGTTAAAACTATTTGCCTTAGAAACAAAAAATGTTAAAGCTGCAAAACAATGTTTAGGAAATACAGTATATCTGATATTATCAAAGCACAGTTTTATCTCCTTTAAAACAAAACACATTAATATAAGGATGCATCAAAACAAGCTGTTATTATTATGAGCCCTGGGGAATAAAGTGATTACTGCACAGGGAATAAAATATTAAGTCTCCTCCACCGCTGAACCTTGACTTCTACCCTAACTGATCAGCATGGCTAAGGAGAGGGGTAATGGGGATATGCAAACCTTGAGAAAAGCTATGAGAAATCATCAGTTACACCACACAGCACTATCCTTGGAAGCCAACTCATTTTACAGCTTGAGGAACGCAGGAAGGGTACCAATTTCCTAGACCACCTACAACATGGTTTCCTTCCTGAATAGGAGTTTGAATTGCTAAGCCAAATTCTCACCTAAGCCTTCTTTTTTCTCTGGAATCTTATATTCAGTATGAAGAAATTCAGCATATAAAACTTTTCCCTATCATTGCATTTCTGCCAGGACCAAGTGAAGAGAAAGAAACCGGAACTTCTGACATGCAGAGGTAAATCCAGTCACTTTTTAAGAAGGAGAACAAGATAAGACAGTCTAAACCACAGATTGTCAGGGCAGAAACAGAACATTCTGCCTAGAGATTCCAGAGACCCAAGATAGTTGCAGCAAAGACTAAGGTTCTGCACTGCACAAGTCTTCTCTTGCCCAGTCATGCTAGCTGGGGACTCTGAGAGTTGGTCCAAAACTTTTACACAACATCAGGTTGGTCTGTGTTGTCTACTGAGAATGGAGAGTCTACGGCCTTGCCGGTTAGCCCTGCCGCAAACCTGGAATTTAGCAACCTTTGGGAGCAGCGGACGTTTTAAAGCGAGAGGTCCAAGGGAAAGAGTGACCATTCACCAAACCGAATAGTGCCGGGGCAGCTACTTCGTTGGAAAAGCCTTCATCCCGCGTAGCCTCAGCGACGAATTTCTCCCGCGGGAGATACGCTAAAGCCGAGGAAAGAGTTGAAGGAAGAATGCAGCTACAGGGCCCCGTTTGGCCCTCCTCAAGGCTGGAGGCACGCCTTTCCCATTTCGCTCGATGCCAAAGCGAAAGGGGGAAAACTCCTCGTCGGGAAGCGGCGGCGCCAACACCTACCTCGTTTCTGCCATGACAATAGCATCGAAGGCGTCCGGTTCCCCTTCAACGGCTGCCATGACTCCGCCGACTGCCCAGCGACTGCGGCGCTCGTCCCCTCGACTGACGGCAAGTCGAAGGGACCAGAAGAACGCGGCCTCGTTGCGTACGCTCGAAAGGGCGCCGGCTTGACGTCACAGCCGCAGGCGCTGAGACATTCCGCTTTCGGGGGTTGGACTGGTCTCTCGGCGCGCCTCCGTTGCTTCCCAGGTTAGTAGCTAGAGGGAGCTAGTCTCTTTCAGAGAACAAGCGGCCTGGGCTCGCGAGGGCCGCGGGAGCGCGCATCTGTTTCCTTTGGGAAAGCGGAGCGTGTGTCTCGCGGGCTCTCTCGAGTGCTTGCCCGAGCGGCGCTTCTTGTGGCGCAAGATTTGTTGCTGAGTGCATTTTTCGAATTCCGCTTGGCGGGGATGATACAGCATTGCCATTACCATACGTGACTCCGTTGTGAACACTTTCGCCTTTAAATTGTTCTCACGGTGCCCAAATCTAAGGAACGGTGATGTACTACATTGGTTTAATAGCAGAAAATGTTTCTTTCATGACTTCTCCATATTATCATTCTTTACTGCTTGGGCAGATTTATTGTTGTAGAGTAGTTCAGATAGATAGACCAGTTGATTTTCTTTTCCTTTCTTTCTACGGGATTACGTGCAACTTACAAAAATTTAAGATTACAATAAACAATAAAGTGATTGCTTGATCATGCGCCGTCAAGTCACATAGCTTTTCTTCATCATGATCTGTGCCCCAAACTGGCCGTCGAGGTCTTCCAATGGTGCGGCCATGTCTGCTGCAACTGAATCGGTCCACCTTGCTGCTGGTCATCCTCTTCTCTTTTCTTCCACCTTTCCCAGCATCAAAGCCTTCTCCAGAGAGCTTAGAAACATTATCATTGTAGCTTGGCTGGAATGTTTTTACTGCTATCATCACCACCACCACCATCACTTTGACTTTCTGAAGCTGCTCTTAGGCTTTCTCTGTCTGGATTAAAATGGAACTAGCATTGGCACCTCAGATTGTATTTTTTATTTTTTTTTCCAAAGGGGGGGATTTTTCCTATTTCCAATCAATATTCTAGTTTTTTGGAACTCTCAGGTTTGCTTCAGAGGGAAGCAAATGGTTTCTACTGCCCATGCTCGGAAAACAGCAACTATTTCCAAACACAACCCAGTCAGTCAGACTCCCAGGCAGTAAACTCATTATTTGCTATCTCCTGTCATTTTCCCCACTGCAACCCCTATAGTTGTTGTTGTGAGGGAGATGGCAGGAGGGAAAGCTATGTACACCATCAAGAGCCCTTGAACAAAATGCGGGATGTAAGCCAAATAAACAGGGACAGCTGGATCTGTGCCATGGCCATTTTTACAATCCTCCAGCTCCCAGAAGTCTTCAATCTCACAAAAGACTCTGAGGTGGATACAGTACTTGTTCCCCAAAGACTTCCATTGGCTTACAAATAACAATTAATACATCCATGGTCGAATGACACAACAAACCTATCAGTTAGGCTAAGGGAAGACATATGATTTTCCTCAGATCACCTAATGAATTCCATGCTTAAACTGGGACTTGAACCTGAGTCAGTCTGAATCCAACCCCTCATTATTACATCATCCTGGATTCAGGCTTTTTTTTTTTTTTTTTTTGGAAAAATTCTCCATGGCTATTTCAGTTGTTTATCAAGTGCTAAATGTCCCAGACATGGCCACTGAAGTGCTGTGGTCAGACACACACATAATCTCATTTGTTGAAACAAGAAAGAATAATCTTTCTGAAGTTATCAGTCAGGCCTTCCTTCTGTAAACACCAACTTCAGCTATTTATAATTGTTTATAGGAAAACTGAAAGAATGTGTAACTTTCACCTGGAAAGCTAAATAAGGTGTGTGCTACTGTATTGCTTTTGCTCCCTGAATACAAACACTTATATTGAAAGCATTGTAGAATGAAAGCTGTGGTAGTCTATAGTAGCCAAAAATCAGAAAGTCTGCTAGCACATTTTCAGACTAACAAATATTATTAAAAGGCATAAACTTTTGTGAGCTACAGCAAATTTCATCCAATGTGTGGAGTGTACTGCAGCTCATGAAAGCTTATATTGAAAAGTACAAGATACACTGTTTGGTACTCAAATTGGAAAAAGTTTAGTTAATATTTTTATATCTGAATTTATAAACTACATTAAAGTTAAAAAATAGGCAAAATATAAACATTTTATTTCAAAGTTGTCAGTTCTGATTTTTTTTTTGTGGAGGAGGGGGAACCATGCTTATCAGTAGAAGCAACATGTATGCTTGATCTTTTGTGATCTGTGATCATTTTTGATGCACAGTTCTGATGTTTTAACATTTGTGTGGAGAACAGATCATGTTTTAGGTCATATGCAGAAATACTGAAAATTCAAAAGGGTTCAAAACTTTTAATCAATGTATGTTGTAATAGCTTTGTACGTTTGGTTATAGGGACTGCTTAACCTATGTATATTCAAAAATAAAGAGCAACTTGAAATAACTGAAAGGGTGTACTGTACAATTTAAATTTTAAATTTTATTTTCTATTCTTTTTCTGTTTTGGTTCTTTTAATGTTTTTTAATAATTATTATATAATGTTTTAGGCAACGTTTGTTTTATATATTTATTGTTTTATTGGCTTGGTGTACGCCATCCAGAGTCACTTTTTGTGAGATGGGCGACCATATAAATTTTATTAATAAAATAAATAAATAAATAAATAAATAAATAAATTTAAAATAGAGGTAGGCAACCTGCAGTCTATAGTTCATATGCAAGTGTCCCAGGAACTTTTTTTTTTTTTGGCCACCAGTGGAGCCCCCCAGACTCAACACAAAAGAAAAAGACTTGGTGACACAATTTTCATTTGAAAAGCCCTAGCAAAGCCTTAATGCTACCCCAAAAATATGAGAAAATGAGCTGAAAAATTATTCTTACCTGCACCGTGGATTTCATCAAGTAATCACAATGCCCTTGGAGGCTGAATATTAGCTGCAACAGCATTGCCTGCCCCTCCTTTTAGGGTTTGTATATTAAGCCTGGACTTTAGTTTACTTACCTGAAGTTAAACCACACACTGAACTTTCTGTTGAACAAACATGCTTAAGAAGTGTGCTTTAAGCACTTAACATTCATTCTAGTAGTAAAGTCAGGTGATGACTGTCAACAGAATTGAAGCAAAATTCTTAGAAGCAAAGAAAAATAATACCAGGGAACTCAGTTATAGCATCTTGTTTAACATTTACATGAAGTCACTAGGGGAGGTAATCTGCCACTTCAGGGTAAGGTATCATTAATAAACTGATAGTACCCAGTTGTATATCTCCACCCTAGGTTGAATAGGGAATACAGTGACCCAAGGTCTAGAGACTTTTAGGGTCTGGATAGGCAAAAAAAGACTCAGACTCAACCCAAGCAAGACAGAGTAGCTATTTCTTCAAAAGCCTGTTGATTCTGGAGTTGCACCAATGTTGGTTCTTCAGGGGGTTGCACTTCCCTATGGAGAATGGGCCCTCCTGAAATCACAGCTCTCTCAGAAAAAGAAGACTCAGGAGGATCTTTGCCCAGCTCCAGCTAGTACACAATTTGTGGCCTTCCTTACATAGAAGAGGTACTGATGATGATTGTTCATGTCTGGATTACTGTAATTTGCTTTACATAAGGCTGCTCTTGAAGACCACCCAGAAGCTCCAGCTGAGATAAAATACCATGGCCCTGGTGCTTACTGGACAATTTTATTATCATCATGTAACACCATTCCTGTAGGAGTTGCATTGGCTACCAATGGCTTTCTGAATGCAATTCAAGGCGCTGGTTATCACCTATAAAGCCCTTTATGGCTCAGGGATTTGGTATCTACAAGATTGCTTAACCCACCCATTATGAGTAAACAGAATGCCTGTTAAGGATCCCCACCTACTAAGAGGTAAGATGGGAGGGGGCCAAAAGCAGGCATTCTTTGTGGGAGCTGTTCTGGAATGACTTGTTATCTGAAACAAGGGTGCCCCCATTTTCACAATCTTCCTGAAAGTTGTCAAAATGTGGCTCAGAAACTGCTTGTTCTAGAGCTGTTAGTCCCAAATACAAGATTTTTTATTTATTTATTTTAATTTATTTATCAAATTTGTCATCACCCATCTTGTTGAAACAATTCTGGGCAGTTTACAGCAGAGATAAAATTCGTTAGAATACGATATAAAACAGTCCTAATAAGATTATTATAACAGTATTGTGTATTGGGTTTTTTGTATGTTGTTTATTGTTTTGCACTGGTTATGTTGCTGTGTTCTTGCACACTGCTTAGAGCAGTTTAAAGTGTTTGAACTGTTTCATAAATTTCATAAATACATAAATGAAAAGCATACAACCTACCAAAAAAAGGGGGGGGAGGAGAGGTGCTTGGTAGCTATCCCATGTTGTAATTGTTTCAGTTTGTACCCTTTCTTCCATTGTTGCTGCCAGACAGAAACAAAACAAAATAATATGAAGCATGAAGCTAATTTTAAAATGCACCAATAATTAAAATAAGCATGAATAGACTTAAAAGGTCTAGCTGAAGAGGGAGGTCTTAACTCGTTTGATACTGGTGACAAAAATGGAGACTAAGCAGAAAGGAAATATATGTAGCTGCTCAGAGAACACCAAGGACTCCACTAAGTAGTAAGCCAAAGAAAATATACTCCATTGCTTGGGAGCTACATAGAAAGTTAGGGCAAACATTATTAGAAAAACTAAAATGCTAGGTAGGGCATGGATGGATGGATGGATGGATGGATGGATGGAT